CTTAGAAGAACTTGGATTCGATTTACCCATATTGACAATCAAATAATGTCTAACTGAGAGAACAACACACGTCCACTCAGTGTAGCCACAAGAAAGAGATAAAAAGGCACAGAGCCTCACGTGATCATCTGAGCAACCGGCACGATTATGAGATGATTGACAGGTGGTGCTATCGGTGTGGGGGCAGAGGTCAGGGGGGTAGAGGCCAGAAAGCTTTGATTCAACTTAGCCTACAGCACGTTTCTACACATGGTCATAGACGAAGAAGAGAGGTGCATACCATGAGATAGGATAAGTATATAAATATACATTTTATTTCACTCCGTCCAATATTCCAGAAAGTCACTATTCTTGTCACATAAGTTTCGTCTTTGATCCACATGGAGTAAAGTAATTCAATTCAAGGTCCCATCTCTTTATAGAAATTCTGAAATACTTAAGGCATGGTTTTATAGACACACATTTGAATTAATTTTGATATTTGAATATTGCATGATAGGCAAGTTCCATATTTCCGCTTGAATAAAAAATATTACTCCTTGAATATTTTTGCACTATTAACAGATATTGTAGGCCTTCAGACTGTGCTTTTGAAACTCTAAAACATTCTAAAATGTGTGAAAAAATTGAGAACATATAAGAGCGAAGGCAACAATATTCACCACATTGTTCTTTAATGTAACACGTTTTGCTATTTCGGTCAACCCTGACTGAAATCAGATCACTGTCGGATTTTGTTTACATTGTGTCACATCTTTCTCGCCTGTCTCATTTCAGCTTTATGGCGTACCAACTCAATGCCCAGTATTGACTTAAAACGTTAAGCAAAAACAATTTTGTTTATAACACTTGCATAATGGTAAAACAACATGGGCTTCTCATATTAGGTTGATATTATTCCAATATGGATTTGGTTTCTTATGGATATCTCAAGACATAGGCTGTATATCCACATTCATGGTAATTTTTTAAACAGAGATTCTATGACTGCTTCACTCAAAACTGGCATGCATCACTATTTTCGTCACCCAAATGTAAATACTATTCACAATTTAAATCATCTCTAAGCGTCGAACCATATTTAACCAGTGAATTGCTACCAAATCAACGTAAAATCATAACTCAGTTTCGGTGCTGTAACTTCAGACTCGCAGTGGAATGTGGTCGTCATACAAACACCCCTTATAATGAACGTCTCTGCCTCTTTTGTCATGCTGCTGGCCTTGATTACATCGAAGATGAATTCCATATTTTATTAATATGTCCAAAATATTCCCAACAAAGATCTGATTGTTTTTCAATATATCTGACTCAACCACCGACAATTGAAACCTTCATCCGATTGTTGTCATCAGACAATAAACATATTTTAAAATCATTGAGTAAATATCTTTCACAAGTTCGCCTAGAAGGAATGATTATCTGTAAAACAAATCAATACTAAACTTTACTTAGCTTTACTGAGGATGTATTTACTTTTGCCAAATGTATGTATTATGGGCCTTGGGCCTAAATTACCGAATAAACCTGTCTGTCTGTCTGTCTGCAAAGTCTTATACTGCTATTTGTTGTCATCTATTGATAATCATTTTGCAAAAGTGTGGAAATTCGTGCAAATTCTCACGCACGAGCAGAAGTAGGTTTCATGAACAATGGTGCCTACATTTAACTGATCAATAGGCCTATAACACTCCTTGATCCGCCTCAAATGTTTTGTCTTGATCGTAATGGTCGTGTTAAAGGTACACATCGAATCGCAGCAATATGTAATACATATAGCGAGTGTAAATGGCATAAATCGAAGCACATCGCTTCAGAGGCATCGTTTGACCCCGGAAATAAGTCTGACAAATCCACGAAGCGCGCCCGGCCTACTGATTGGCCAAAATTGACGCATGCACCAGTTTTGATTGACAGACTGGATCGGTCTACTGACATTCAATGCTATGGTATGTAGAGGAAATATCACATGTCAACTAGAGCAGTGTGAATGTATGAGGTTTCAACCCCTTGTATTAACTGATTTTGGACCAAGGGTAACTCATTCACTTCTTCCAACTAACAACATGACCATCAACTGCAGGAAATGTTTCTTGGTAGTAAGTGAAGGCCAAGACGCAATCTCATGTGATAAATGTGAAGGCTGTACACACAGACTCTGGGGAACTGTCGCGGGTTGGATGCCCAGGCGCGTCATACCAAAAGATACCAAAAAAAGTACTTGTTGGTCCCTGTCTGGCATTCGGCATTAATGAGTACAACATGACTGGTCGGCTCGGAGTCAGTACATTGTATACGCTCATTCTCAAATGAGTGCAAATGCTGTCCCCGACATGCTTCTCTTAAACTTCATTAGCAAATGTTATTATCAGTATGGTTGGATAATGGTGCCAACCTGGCCAACATCCATCGTGCATAAACAGTCCAATAATCCAAAAAGTATATTTGTTACAGCTAAGGTAATCAGTCAATTTGACATGTTCGTTACTGTCGCAGGTAACAAAACCTTACTTCACAGTTAAACTTAATGCAATTTGTTATACAAATACTTGGTTAGTACATTAGGATATTGCTATTTTCTGATCTTATTGAAGTATCATTTTCTGCAAATTGTTAAGCCAATGCATTTTTTTCAGATAAATGAATTTGGTCTAATGTCATGTCGCCAGTTTTGAGGAAATGCCACTGACTAATTTTCAGCTTGACAAGTAGATGTGTAGAACAAAGCATAATCTTACCCATTCACTTTGAATGAATACAATTTATGTTTACATTAATGGTATTAGTCATTATATGGGGCCTAGATTATCTCTCTGCATAACATATCTCAATACATAGAAAATATTCTATGCATAGAACTAAGAGCAAAATGTGTTACCACCGCCAAATTTGGGATTTGTGCTCTTTTTCACATAGTTTATGTTACATTTAGAACATAAAGTATGACCGATGGGAAAAGAAAAAGATTTTCAAATCTTGTTTGTGGTTAAAGGTAACTTACTGCTTGATTTGCCAGGGTATGTAATCTTTAGTGAAATGTTCATTACCAGAGTATTCGAAATTACATAGCTTGAAGTTCTGATACTATTTTAAAAATATTTCCCATCTGGGAAGTAAAAGTGGATGTTTGCAATCACCAAAGAATTAAACTTGAGAGCCATCTGAAATAGGAAGTAACAATGTAATGAACATTTCATTTCTAAATAGAAAATGACACCATCACTTACTATTGAGTTATTAGTCACGTCTTGGAGTAATGTAACTCTGTATTTGGGCAATAGAAACACTACCATAACATCAATAACAACAACAAGGAACATTACATCCTAGTAATGGACATTTCTGTCACGTCGATAAGATTAAAATTGAGCTATAGTATATATAATTATTTCCAGAATTTTTGTTGTTAGTCTCATGTTAAATAATTACAGTATCATTATTTGAAATTTATACCTCAAAAAGACTGAATGATAATAAGTAAATTTGAGAACAGTTGAATAAAGATTTATGAAGATAATGTTGAATTTTAGTTTGTACAAAAAAATAGCTCCCAAACATGCTTATTAATTTTTTATATGATTGTTTTCAATTTGCGATATCTTGAAATCTGTCCAGTTGAAGTCTATCTGAGGATAGACCGCCTCCGTGGTGTAGTGGTTAGAGCGTCCGCCCGGAGAGCGGAAGGTCGCGGGTTCGATCCCCGACCGCGTCATACCAAAAGACGTTAAAATATGGTACTTGTTGGTCCCTGCCTGGCGCTCAGCATTAATGGGTACAACAAGGACTGGTTGGCTCGGAGTCAGTATAATGTGTCTGAGTGGGGTATTCCTGCTTCACTGCGGCATGGTATCTCAGTGGGCTAGCACTATAAAACCAGCTTACGTCTGGGCTAGTACAAGCAGCCGCACATACACATACACGCATGCACGTCGTCATATGAGCGAAATATTCTCAAGCACGACGTAAAACCCAATTTCACCTCACCTCACCTATCTGAGGATAAGACAATGTTTCTGAAGACATGATGTTGCCTAAAATATTCGTTACTTATATAGTGGTTTATATCTAGTGGTTGGAAAACTATATAAAACCATGTTTCCTTCTAAAATAGACAACACATGTGTTTTATGATTTAACTTTCTGAGCATCTGAAAGTATTTATCACTTCATGACATTTTGTTTCATGTGTTCCATGTGTGTTCCTAAAGTTTGCTTTCACACAGTTTGGTGAATGTTTGCAAGTTCAGTATGTTCTATCCTGCACTGTACTTGCTGGGAATTAGTTAGTCTACATAGCAAGAACACAGTTACAATGTTAGGGAAACATGTACTCCAAAGCTTGGTAATAAGGGCCATGACTGCTTTCTGGGTAGGTGTTTTTTATCGGCTTACTAGTATGTGGTTATCCCTTGTTATAACGAACATTTCAGTGTAAGGATTCTCTGAGAGTGTACCTATCTTGTTAGCTTATTTGTTATATTTTCAAAAGCTTTTAATTCTTATTGGAATTCCCGTTGGTTTTTAGCAGCCCAATATGTTACCTTGGCAAAATAAAGGATTTCACACAAATACAACTTGATTTACTTTTCAATATTTTTGTGAGCCATTTGCACCCCCTTATTGAGAGAGAGAGCGATATAGTTTGTCTGAGAGGGGTATTCATGCTTAACTGTGACATGGTATCTCAGTGAGCTAGCACTATAAAATCTGGGCTAGTACAAGCAGCCACACATACATACACATGAACGTCATCATATGAGCGAAATAATCTGAAGTACAACCTTAAACCCCAATTCACCTCACCTGTGGAACTAGTGTGTCCAAGAAGATGTATGAGGAAGCAGACTGGACAATAACTTTTACATGAATAATATAATATCAAAGCATACTCACTCACAAGCACTGTACTTGAACCTTTAAGTTCAGTGACTTGAAAGAAAGACCTATTTTATCAAATTTAAAAGTACTTAGACTTGCATTATTGGCTTGAAGGAACTTACTGGATCAATATCGGGGTTAATGCGAAGCAGTACTTTTGCCGTTTTGGTGAGCTTTTGACAAATGCGCATGGTATGCATCAAATCAAAGGTAGAGTCAACGTTGATGAGGCAGCCTTCTGTTATTGCCATGACTCTTTCCCAGTCGTGTTTCCCATTTCCGTTGAAAACAATCAGTCGTGGATCAAACCCAAGTTTGAGAGCCATTTTCAATTCCATTCCACTGACTAATGAGACTGAGCACTCCATGGATCGAACAATCTCAAGAATAGCCGGTATATGATTGGCTTTCATAGAAAAGTTGAGCAAGGAGGGAATGTTCAGCATTTTCAACGCAGTTTGGTACGCACTGATATTAGACACGATCTTTTTTTTGCTGTAGACGAAGCATGGCGAAGATGGAAAGATACCTATTGTTGATAAACCGTTCTGTATGTCTTTCACCCGAACGTCCTCACAGCGCAAGAATCCATCTCCAAATGAAAATCCTTCTCCCTCCATATTTCGACCGCTGAAGGTTAGGGCGTGGCTGCCACACTAACCATGAGATATCTATGGTGGCTGATTAGTATGGTGGCTGATTAGGGCCATCGCTTTCTCGCCTTAAAATTCGGAGGCGAGAAAGCGATATCACGAGACGAGAAAGCGATAACACGAGACGAGAAAGCGATAGCACGAGACGAGACGAGAAAGCGATAACGCGAGACGAGAAAGCGATAGCACGAGACGAGAAAGCGATATCATTGCGCGATAAAGCGATAGAGCGAGAAAGAGAGAAAGCGAGAAAGTGGTATTACCCACAATTCAGTGCTGTCTGCGCATGATCGACTACAAACGGGAGCTCAGTCGCCATCGTAATTTCTGGATAGTATTAAATGGTTTACAGTAATGTTCTTGCCCACGAATGGCGGTGTATGACTTGACGTTTAGAGAATATCTAATAGAGTTGTAGACTTTCCTTTGACATGCAATTTGCACGTATGCAATAGTCATATCGTGAAATAACGGAAACGTTCATTTTGTGATGTGACTTAAGGAATTACATATTTTATGACATGACTGGATTCGAATTGTCTTAACCAACTTAATCACACCAACCTATTGAATTGTTTCTTTGATGGGCATTTTAGAAGTTGAGTTGATGAAATATAATGACAATTATATTGGATATACAACTTCTTTTATTCTGTGGAGGCGATGTTTCGACATAGGTTCTAATGTCGTTGTCAAGCAAGTGATACATGAGTAACAAATTGAGAGAATAGTAAAGTAAAGCACCTTGGTACATCAATGTAGTAACAGAACCATTCCACAGTCGATGGTGTAATCTAAGCAAATAAAAGGATGCAGTCAAACGTTCGTCTAATCAAAGCTGAAAATAGTACGCAGTTAAACGCTGGTCTAGCCATATATAGTGAACTTCTTTGGGTGGCATTTAGAAGTTGCTGTGCTGAACAACTGGGAAAGTTATATGGATAAACAACTTCTTTATTATAATGTAAGCGACATTTTGGTCCGCCAATTTCAAACCCGTTCTGCCATCACAATATCTATCAAAACCCATCTTTTCCCCCAAGATTTCTTCTAACAAAAGTGAGATAATAGACATGTTATACAAACAACTGATTTTCTACAATATATTGTTACACTCCGCCGCCATTTTGACTGTATGTAATAATTGATGTGTGTGATATGTACTCTTATACCACTATTGGTGGTCTATTGAGAATAAAAGTAAAGTAAAGGCTACAGCTGGACGTGGTCGCATAGGTTTTGAAAAGCTGATTAGTGTATCCAGTTAATCTTTCGTAACATTTTCGTTTCCAGAGGAGGACTTGAAACTCGTTCAATATATGTAACTATCTACCTGTATCATCTTGTTTATAACCTGGTCAACTCATGTCAAAACGATTCAAATCGAATGAGAGCAATAGGTGGCATTCACTGGGATGCAGACAAATAAACCCTCCTACACATCTACAAAACATTTATCTTGTACACACTGGAGAGAGTCGCTCCCGTCCTTCTCTATCCCCAACTAAACTCCTTACAATATATTAAAAAAGCCACAGGTGCAAAGACTAGTACCTACTACCTATTAGTTACTAGAAGAAACCAAATGACTCAATAACTACCAGACTGGGTCTGAAAAAAAAATATCAGAATATATACAGAATAAACCCTGTAAAACATCCCTATCCAGCCACACATTACAGTGTAAACTCGATTATCCAGACTAACTCACAATGTCAAGGGTACACACCACACGTTTCACAACCAAAACATAAACACCGTACCCTGGCTCCCCAGCCCTACTTTTTAACAGTTAACCCCAATTCATCTATTTAGTAGACTCCTTATTAGCTTATCAGCAACAGTTTAACTGTTCTGCACAATAAGTCACAATATACTTTACACCACTTACTTAGTTGAACTTATACGCAATCAACTTCCCACCTTCTTACGTCCAATTTCTAACTCCCCATCTAAACTAAATTATTTTCAATATACAGGTGTTTATGATATAGTGCTTTATTCCCCAAGCAATAATTTTATTACGTTTTTGTTAAACACACCTACCACGTCGGTCGATGAATTGTGGCACTGTCTCAAGTCGATAGTTGGGAGTTCGGGGACAGACAGACATATACGTATGTACACAAGCCATGCTTGTAGAAGTATAAGAGATTATGGCACATACATTTAGAACAATACCTTTTCCACATAATAGTAGATATATATATATATATGTGTGAAATATGCACACATAAAACGACCAGATGAAAGGCACATGGTGTAGAAAATTCCATCAGTGATACAATACAGCCCGACGGGAAGTTGGTTTAACACCGCACTAGGCAATATTACAGCTATATGGCGGCGATCTGTAAATATTCGAGTATGGACCAGACAATACAGTGATCAACATTATGAGCAAAAAACGCTACAGAGTTGGGTTACGATGACATTGTCAACCAAGTCAGCGAGCCTTATCACCCGATCCCGTTAGTCACCTTTTACGACAAGCATGTGTTGCTGAAGACCAATCTAACCCGGATCTTCACGGGTAACATGGGGAGTAGGCAAATGTGTAGCTTAGCCCAGTGAAAAACAGAGCTCATAAAACAGGACTCATAAAATACCTAAAGGTATTTAAGAGAAGTTATGGGCGTAAACTTCTGTATTTGCATAACACGATGCAACGGAGTATATTCTTATCCTCCATCGGTGAATGAAAAGACTAGAAACTAGGACACAGAAAGCTAAAGACGTACAGTGATAAACAAACAGTGATAAGATAACAAGGGAAGCCAGTACTTAATTAGCGCTAAATTGGTAGGGTGGATGGACAAATGGAAGCCAGGGATTGTTAATCCCGGCATGAATAATGAGATAACAATGGTAGCATTTAACAAGGGAAATGACAATAAAGAAATGCAAGCCAGGAATTAATCCAGACCTAATTAGTGATGTAACAATAAATTAAATGATTGTTATCCTCTTTACAGACTTTTTAAGAGCGCTCATTTATTTCAACGAAAACACACTCGGTTTCTGGTGTTATTGTTGGATTATTGTTTGGACAAGTCAAAGGATTAATTACAAAAATGCCACAGAATTCGAAAGCATGTTCATTTTGTTTCTATACGATTAAACAAAATGACAATAAAGCCTCCTGTTGGATTAAATCATACGCAGGTTAGACGTCATGTGCAGACAGGGCAGAATTATGTGAAATATCGCTTTCTCGCTCTATCGCTTTCTCGCTCTATCGCTTTCTCGCCTTGGTATATCGCTTTCTCGCGTAATGGTATCGCTTTCTCGTCTCGTGCTATCACTTTCTCGTCTCGTGTTATCGCTTTCTCGTCTCGCGTTATCGCTTTCTCGTCTCGCGCTATCGCTTTCTCGTCTCGCGCTATCGCTTTCTCGTCTCGCGCTATCGCTTTCTCGTCTCGTGTTATCGCTTTCTCGTCTCATGATATCGCTTTCTCGCCTCCGAATTTTAAGGCGAGAAAGCGATGGCCCTAATCAGCCACCATAGATATCTGATATCACGCAAATACAGGTCAGTCAGCACCGCGACTCAAGCCGTGTCAAGTACAAAGTACACTTACGTATTCCCGATTTGAACACGCATATGAAACACGATCAACGCTGGCGAATGGCCATACTCCCTCCAAACCGTAAAATCATATTTACGGCCCCGATTTATTTGTGAAGAATGACCCTTATACCACAAACGTAGTTGGATAATATCTTTACCATACCTGATCATAACAAAAGTTGTCAGCAGGTGTTCTACGCGATAGCATTATAAGAAAACTGTAGGTTTGCTCTGAGCACAACCGGCGAATAAGTTGTCCAGATGCTGTGAGACGTATGCTTCGTTAAACCAGAGACCATATAATCTATTATATGGTCTCTGGTTAAATATCCCCGTACTGTTTATAACAGTAAAAGTGAGGCCTGCTTGATAATGAATACACAATACAATTTAGAAAGTGGTCAAAGGTAACATATGTTATATTTAGGATTGCACTTTCTTAGTAAAGAGATTCTAAAGTACTGTCGGAAATAGAAAAACACTGTTTTTAGGCTGTTACTCTGTATCCCTAAAGTTGACAAATTTACGAATAGCATATATGGAAATAACCCACATCGGCCTAACTGGGCGTTCAGTGGGATGCGTGATAGGATATACAGAAAAGCATGTTTACTCGTAAAATCGGGCAAAACTTAGAACAAATTACGAATAGCTGCCCAAAACAATAGATCGGTCTATAGATGGCAATTAGGTCGCTCAGCCAGGTATGACGACGGACCGTCGACTCACCTGGCATGAAATGCACGTACTGCCTACAAGCATAAGGGGTCATCTCAAAGATATTTTGTGCTTTTTCATGTGTGTTGACTGTGTCTTATCTATTGATTAACATCTTACGTGTCTTTCTTTCATAAAGTTTATGTTGACATTTGTAAAAGAGTATGATACCCGAAAACCATAGAAACGCATCGTAGTATATAGGTGGCATGACCACCAGAAGATCGACAGGACTGGATATTATTTGTAAATTGTTATGACGTGCCGTGTACCTCCCCAGTATAATTGCCCTAAAGGATTATCTTTTCTTAGCTGATATCTCTATCTCCCAGCCCGACCCCAGGTTTTGCTTTTGAGACGACCCCTCCTATATGTTTCTTTTTATAGTGACAGTGAGACTGCATGGTAGCTACATCCTTAATAGTTTCAGCATAAAAGTTATTATTTTTTACGTCAGCTATCGTTTATAATGAATCTACGTCTAATTTCAAATTGGGCATTTAAAAAGTGTCCTTTGTAATACAATATCGTCGCACACTAATTTGCAGAAAGCCATGGTCTGTTCCAAATACGTCTTTTTGGACTTAGAAAACAACCGCATTGCTCATTTCTGCACTAATTTCCCCTCAGTAAAGTCCCTTTTCTCCGTTTCCTATCTCTCTACCACTGAGACTGTAGTTAGGCCGAACTTAGTTTAACAGATATTTCACACTTTCACATATCAACT